CCAAGGCTGAGGCCGAGCGGTGGGGGGGCTGTAGCAGAGTCGGTGGTTTCCCCTCTGGTTGAGCAGGTGCTTGCTATTGGGGGGAAAAAAAAATTTTTTAAAAGCCCCAGACTTGGCTTCAGTGTGGTTTAGTTCACTGATAGTTGCAGCTGGAGGTGCTCCTGTCAGAGCATCTGCTCCTGGTGCTTCTCTGACCCCGCTTCTGTGGCTCTGCTGGGCCCGTCCTTCGAGTGGGAAACTGCCCGAGATCTGCGTGTGGGAACTCATCGGCCCCCCGGCTGCCCTGGGGCTTGATTTCAAACACCAGTGTGAAACCCCTTCATCGTGTGCAGGGACTGCTCTTCCGGAGAAGTTTTGTGTTAAGAGGAGCCTGGAAAGCTGGCGTTGTGTAATTTTGGAGGGCATTCCAGCTGAGGAGTAATGCCCTGTAAATCAGAGCTGTAACGGGAGCGGCAGATCGTGTTTAGAGACTCAGGTAGGAGCAGTATTTGAAGGTGCAGTGTGTAAGGAAAAGGAAGGAGTTGTAGCTAGCCCTGGAACCAAGTGCCAGTGACGGAATTACATATTTTGTCCTGTTCTTCCTTTTCCATTTAATGCTGATTTCAAGGCATGTTGCAATCCTTACTCTTCTTAGAAAGGAGTGGAGTAGAGAGGAAGTCAGATGTGAATGTCTGAATTCTAGGAGACAAAGCCAAATGAATAAAACAACTGTTACTTGTTCCATGGTGAGGCAGATGCCTTTCTGTAGCTTGCTACTGTGAAATGCTTTGCTTTTCTGCAGCAAAAGGGTTAAGGTTATGCCCATGCCTACCTACAATTCTGTGTTAATGAGCTATTATAATGCTTTGGAGATCTGAACTTGAGGTTTGTTTCCCAATAGCTGCAATAAATGAACTTGGAGCAGGGGCTGTCTTTCTGTGCCCATCTGTAAATGGGAGACTTGGTCACCTCAGCGTGACCTCTAAAAACTGCAGAGAGCACTGCTGAACAATGTTAAAAATGGTGCTATTAAGGCTTTTTATCAGCCCTTCTCCAAAAAAAAACCCCAAACCATAGTAACCTCATCGTAACAACCTGTCTTATCTTGGAGATGGTGTATTTTGGGATGCTTCACACCTGGGTTTGGTTGACCATGTAAGTTGAAACACGGTGGTGTTGGCAGAGCGCAGAACATTCCTCTTGCTTGCAAACTGCTTATCTCTTGGCTCCTAATGCCAGCACCAAGGGCAAAAATAGCTGTCTTGTCTTCTCTTTTGAGGCATGAGATGGTAATGTACACAATATGGAAACAAATTCTCATCACAGTTCCAGGATACTTGTTTTGATGTGATTATATGGCTTCTCCTGTTCGTACTACATCCTGGAAATGCAATATTCCATTAATTATGTGTAGAAGTTGAAGCGTATGGTTCAGTGTTGCCACTAAAGCTGGAAGCTGCTTGTGTCTGGGAAGATAGGTTGCAGGCTTCCGTTGTACTCAGTTAGCTGGCAAAATAATTATCTGCTCTACTAATGAGATTCATGGAGGTGTGAGATCTCATTCTTCAGGGCAACATACGCAGTCTGTGGCCGCAGGAGGTGTAGATGCAATAAGCTCTCCAGACAGGTATCTGACTGTAATTGGGGCCAGTCAAAGCATCATACTGGGCTGCATTTCTGGGTTCTCCCAGCAAGGCACTGGTGCTGGTTTGCAATGATGACGAGGAAGGCTTGATGTTAATTCTTAGGGCTACTGAAGGTAACCGCAATGCTCTGCTTTGCGTATGGAAATGAGGCCTGGGTGTACTTGTGCAGAGTAAAGAGCACATTTTATTTGATGTATGGCTTCTTAATAACTAAAACTCTGTGCAAGTCTGCACTAATGAGAGGCCATGTGGTATTTGCCAGCTCCAGATGGCTTCCCTCAACATTTCCAGTGCTACCTGGAAGAATAGCTGCTTTTCTGTACTGATGGTTGCTGGGGTTTCACCCGATTGCGAGTCTGACTATGCTAGTTGAGATACACGAGGAATGTACTTGTGTACAGTTGTGTGAAGAGTAGTTTGCCAAGGTCACGGCTGAAATCTGGTCACCAGCTGCTGGTTGGTGGTGGCAGGTGGTGTTTCTTCTGCTGGCTCACTCCTTCATCAGCTCACATTCCCCATCAGAAGGATTTTTGCATGAGTTTCAAAGTTGAAGGCAAGGTAGGAACCTGGCAGCTCATACAGCACCTATCAAGACACTTTTACAATAAAACACTGGCTTTCGACCATCTGTTTTTATGCTGAAGCTACTGAATTTTGTAGTGGTTTGCTGCTTGATCTGAGCATTTCAAAGCTCGCATGACACATAGGCAGAGACTGTTCAGATGCCACCCACACTTCCATTATGCCTGTTCCCAATGACCTAACTACTTGCTGGGTTTCATTACTGTATTTTTTCCACTTCTATATACAGAGCTAAACGAGATTACGGTACCTGTTAGTGTGAGCCGCAGTGCTAGTACGTACCCACTTGATTTCACGCTCTGCGGAAATTCTCGGTGTTAGGGTAAAAGTTGAGTTGTCAGGAACATCAGCTCTGATGCTGGCTGCTGGTTGGGCCCCGCACTCTGGGACCAGCATAGCAAACACGCTCTCGTTGGCTATGCTGTTTCGGTGAGCAGTTGGGTATTTTCCTTCTCCTTTGCCCTCAAAGTGATTGCTTAGAGAGAAGGTAGTCTTCTGTGGTGGTGGTGTTCCTCACTTTCCATCAGGCAGTGCATACAAGTGGTTCCTCGTCCAACTTGCATCTTTAAGCGTGATAAGGAGGGAAAACTAGTTTCTCCAACATACTCTCCTTCCCTCCTATGTTTGGGGTTCAAGTAACTTCCGTGGGGCGCATTGCTCTTCTCAAGGCGTTTCTTCTGACAAGTTGTTGGAGACAGCGATGGTCTCCCATGCTTGCTCTGCCTATCTCTTCTGTAAGAGCTACACAGATGAACCTGAAAGGAGAACTGCAGAAGCAGGAGCTTGATGGTTTCCCTTTGGCTTCCCTTCACATCTGGGGTCTAAGTTGTTGGAGAGGGGTGGGGAAAAAAAAAAGGACAAGGAAACTGGGAAAGAAAGGCTGGGGTGGTTTTTGCTTCTGCAACAATAAACACTGCAGTGGTTAGAGGCTTTTGTTTTGGAGGAAGTTGGGCGAGATCTCTTGCCTGCTTCTTCCTCTTTGCATTGCAAACTTTGTCTAAAGCAACTGTGGGTGAACTGGGTGATCTGACCAAAAGCGGGTGAACGGGTAGCAAGTGCCGAAGCAGAGCGTGGCTCGACTGCTTTCTGGCAGTGGATCTTAGGAGTGAAAATTTAGGTGTATGTGTGAGGGGTCTTCATTACTTGATCAAAAGGGGACTTGGGAGCTCAGTGGCAGCCTTTCCGGGCATAATCTGGCCATGTTGGGCACAAACAGAACAGCTGATTTCCCCTTGCAAGTGCTATCAAAGGTTACTCATCTCGGTGGCTTTCACATGCAGCTCTGAATGCTATCACGATACTGATATTAATGATGAAAGGCAATGATCCAGGGTGGAGTCCTAGCAGCCCTGCCCTGCCTGCAGGGATGCAGCTCTCCTCTCGGGGCTGCCCAGCATGGCTGAGGGGGTAGAGCGGCTGTCTTCACTAAAAGCTGGAGTGATGAATTATCATAATCCTCTTTTTTAAGGTCTTTGTATGAATTGCTTGAACAAAACACCTCGGAAGAGAAGCTGATGATGAGTGAGAGCGGGATCTCTTCTACCAGTGCATTTCTCATGGCAAAGGGCCTTCTGAGGGCAGTTGTGTGGCTGTTGTGGTTTGATATCTGTGTAAGATAGTGTGACTGTCGAGCAGGCCGGCTGTATTGAGTATCTGTCACAAGATATGCTGCTGAACATCAAGAGTCTGGAGGCTGAAATTGTGTCGTAGATGAAGGAGGGGTGTGGTGTAATCTGTGCAAGTTGGACTTGACCTAAGTGTTCAGATGTCTTCCAGTAAATGGAAAACATCTTGTGTTGAGTAACTTTAACTGGATTCTTCTCTGCGTTTCTGACTCTGAAGTTCTGTGCTGAAGTTGTGTAACATACCGCTAATTCTATTTGATTCTCTCCTTCTCCCAAACTCTTCCCCTCTGCTCTTCCAGTCCTATCTATCCAACAGGCTCCTTGGATCCAGTTTGGTTGACGTCGGAACGGCAGGTTCCTCCACAGGGAGCACCAGCGAGGACTGCTGTATCTGTCCATCAGCTAAGGTTGCCCTGTGCTCCTCCTGGTTTGTCTGACTCTTCCCTTCATCCCTTGTGTCTTGTGAGAACTGTGGGTTCCATGCTGAAATCAACCCCTTCTTCTAACTTTAGTGGTTAGATGGGAAACTGTGTGTTGTTGAACACAACACAAACCCAGGTCTAATTCTTCAAGCAGTCTTCTCTGAAAGAGGGGTGGGACTTTGAAAACCTGTGAAGAGGTGGTTAAATATTGGATGGGAAGCGGCAAGAGCGGGATAAAAAGCTTGGGGCTAGAGTAGGTGCAGTTAAGGGGGGGTGACTTCCAGTGGAATGGGGGAGTTGGCTTATTACAGATGGTTTAGCCCAGCCAAACTAGTATTAATAAAAAACATGTTGCTGATATTCAACAAGAATCTGTTGTGACTCAACTCCTCCATCAGTAGACTGTTGAATTGCAGCTGAATTTCCTTTTCAGTAAAAGCAACATGAAGAGTAACTTTTTAAATAGCTGCCTAGAACAACTGCATGTGACGAAGAAATGATCGTTATGGGAAAAGTGAGCAGTGGGTAGCGATGCATACAGTTTGCCTGCAGTGGGCTTCAAAAACCAAAGCGGTAGGACTAGAGCTTCTCAGCTTGCCTTAGAAAATCTTGTATTAGGGGAAAGCTCAGTCTTATGTAATGGAAGCTTGCCAGAGGGGATGCGTATGTGCTTGTGTACTCATTTTAATTCTCAGCTGCAGTCACAATATTCTGCAGTGATCTTCATGAACGCTCATTTTCTCTTCTGCTTTTGAACTGTTTTGCTCAGCTCAAGTCGGGTCTGAGAGGAGTAGTCTTCTGCACAAAGCAGTCTTAATTCCAAGTGAGTGTAAATGTGCGGAAATTAACTTTATCTGTGAGATTGACTTAATCCCTTGGTGATCTTCATCTGAGAAGTCTGAGCAGTGCTGCCATGGTGTAAGGCTGGCTGGGAGGGGGCACAGCTTGCTCTAGCTCTGAGCCTGACCCTACATTTGCCTGCTTGAAGCTGTAACTTCCCATTCAAGCCACAAAGTGAGGAAAAAAGCCTCAGCCTCTCCAGTGGGGACTTATTCTGGAATGGGTTTGTGAGAGGAGAGTTGTAGGAAGATAGCCTTTAAGAAAAGATATGCAGAGCTCTGAGTCACGCACGGGGATGCATGTCTCTACATCTGCCAGAAATAGATAACGAAGATACCCCCTGCTTGGAGGATTATCTCAGCAAACCATGTCAGCTTTAATACCCTTGTTCTGCTGTAGCAGCTGTATTGCCCCACCTGTGCAATGGAGAGCCTGTGTGGCGAGCGGCTGTGTAGCAAAGGCTGTAAATTAAGGGTCCAAAAATGCCATGTGATTCTCCGAGCATAGCTGCAACTTTAGGAAAAGTTTGTTCCTATAGTAACTGCCAGATGAATTACATAAGGTATCAGACATGCTCAGGAACTTGGGTGACAGCTTCTTCAGAAAATGCCTCTGCGGTTTAAAGGTAATTTATCTTTCAAAATGCAAGTAGGTTATCAAAACTAACTAGAGAATCAAGAATAGCTTTGGTCTCCTTCAGGTTGATCCAGAACAGTGATTACTTCGTGTGTCCCAGGAAATCTAGGACAGAAAAAGTTTGAGCTTTTAAGAGAAACTGTCTTAGAGCAAAGCTTCCTCTGACTGCATAGCGCAGGTAAATCCAGCTTCGATCAGACCTTCAGTGCCTTGTTAAACTGCTTACCTCTATTTTTGGCAAAACATGCCATTCCTTGCTGGCCAGGTTATGCCCTTTCCTTACGAATGTCAAGTCCTTTTTGGTAACTTTGATAGTGAAAAGTAGTTCATGTCCAGCTCTAGATACTGAAGAGATTCTCAAGCAAGCAAAAAGTGGCCCAGGAGCTGAGACTCCTTCCTCTGTTAGGAGCTATTTTAAGGGCTTGGTGACTTCTACATATCTCTACAACTCAAATGAGATGGGAGGATAGGGTCTAAATATTTTTTTAAATGCAGTGAAGAATTAAAACTGTGTCAGCAGATGTCTTCTAAGGGATTTGATGGTGGAGAAATTCTAAGCTGAATTTTGGTGGTGTAAAATAGCGTGAGTTTCTGCCCTGCTTTATGTGCATTTGGGCACAGGGATGGGTGTTTGCCTATTACCTAAGGGGTTTTTTGCATTTCAGGGAAATTCAGGCCTTGAAATCTGCTGCCTTTACCCTAGCAACTTCTAGGACTGACTCGTGTGTAGTTTTGGGGAAAACCTAGTGCTTGGACATCTGTTATGTAGTCTCTGGAACGCTATGAAATCCTGATCTCGGATATTGAGCATCTCTGTGTTGGGACTCTTACTATGCTGATCTCCACAGGAAATACATGGATCATGGAACTTGGCTGATTTTTATATATTTTTTTAGTCATTGTGGTAATGTTAGCCAGTTCTCTTGCATGGATTCTTACCATAGCATCTGCTCAAAATTCACTCTTGCTGCATATTTACTGAGGTAATAAACATCACTGAAGGACCCACCCTGCTGGTCACAGCATCTATTTCAGTTGCCTCCACCTTGCTTCATCTGCATTCGTATCATCACAGCACTTTTCAAAGAACAAGATCATAACGGTGATAGGACGTGTGCTGAAGGCTGCTTCTGCAAGCTTGCTGCTACTGAAAGAGATCAAATGCTGCTGTGTAGATACCTTCAAGGCCACCAGGCACTCCAATGTTGTGCATTTCTGGTAAAGTGTAGAAGATTCACAGAATGGCAAGGGCTGGAAGGGCCCTTGGGAGCTCACCCCGTCCCACCCCCCTGCCCAAGCAGGCTCACCCAGAGCAGGGGGCACAGGACAGCGTCCAGGCGGGGGTTGAAGATCTCCAGAGAAGGAGACTCCACAGCCCCCCTGGGCAGCCTGGGCCAGGGCTCGGGCACCCTCAAAGTCAACAAGTTCTTCCTCATCTTCAACTGGAACCTCTTCTCCTTCAGTTTGTGCCCATTGCCCCTTGTCCTGTTCCTCAGGAAACGGAGCCAGCACCAGTCAGCTTGGTCTGACTTGGCCAGTAAGGTACCTGTAGCAAATGTTATGGTTTGGGGATGGAGGGAGTATGCTGGTTCTTGCTAATACAGCCAAGAAGATTCTTAAGGCAAAACTCCAAGCTGTTGTCAGAAGCAATATTTTCAACCCCCGTAGATGCCTCTGGCTCTTTCTTTTTTATGCAGAGAGGTTAAAACCTATAATTACTGCAGCAATCTTCTAATGGGAAAAAAAGGCAAAGAAAAGCCCCTAAAACAGCTCTTTCATCTTTCAAAGGGTGGCGTAAAGTTGAGGTTTTGAACTACTAAACTACTTAACTAGGCACATAACTACTAAACTACTTAACTAGGCACGTGTCCTTATCAAACTCGCTTGCTACAGAGCTTTTTGGCTTTAGCATCCCTGTTTCACTGGGTTCCAATGGCTTCCTGAAAACTACTCAAATAGCTTAGTCTGGCACTAAATCTGAGCGTATGTGCAAGTGTTAGTGCTTCACAAATCTCAGACGCCTGTACCAGGATGCGTGTGCAGGCCAGTAACTGGCCTGTGTTAATAACTAAATAGCATAATGTAGAGATGTTGAAGCTGAGTTTAACTCTATTTCTTGCTCGCTAGCAGAGTTTACCTTGTTTCCCCAAACTAATCTGAACGTTTGACTGCAGAACAGACGTCTACAGTAAAGAGGAGAGGAAGTTCTTTTGTGAGACAGCCTTTGGCATAGCTTTCCTATGAGCGGAATGAATTTCAGTAAGTCATTAAGCAATCTCTTTCCAGAATAAGGAAATCACAAGTCAAAGGAAGCTCTTGGATACTTGGCTATTTCCTCATTTGGCTCTGCAAAAAGTAGGGCTTTTCAACTTTGACTCGATGAGAAATTTCCAAGTTCTGGTGAAGGCTTGTCCGAGAGGATGTGAATGTCGTCTCGCAGGGATTATCCCACTCCGAGGAGAATTTCCCACATCCACTTCCCCTGTGAGTTGTACGTTGCCGTAGTCCAACACATGCAGCAGTGTTAGCTGGGATCAATGGGCTGAGCAGGCACATTTCCCTGTTACAGCTGGGCTTTTGCCGGAGCGCTTGCAGGCAGGGAGCCTGTGAGTCAAATGATTGTTTGCACTAAGAATATTTCATCACGCTTTGAATAGCGATGCGCTCTCCTTCCTGCCTGTGAAAGCAGCTATTTTTTTCCTGACGCAGTGGCTTTGCAGCCAACTTCTGTTTTATTTTTAAATGCCTTCTGGAGGGTTATTACTGAAGAAACTTGCAGGAGTAGCTTGAGCCAAAAATCTAATGCCTGGTTAAAGGGTGAGGAGTGAATCCCCTTGGGATTCCTTGATTAAAAACACTCAAGGGTGTAAACTTTGAGCAAGTGCTTAAGACAGTGTGTGAAGTGCCCTGGCCAGGCTGTGCTGGGGGGGTTAAAGGGAATTGGGAGCCTTTGCAATAAGGGCAGATCATTCAGACAGTCCTTGTAAGCATTAATGATTCTGGCTTAGATGCTAACTTAAGCTGGTATGATCAGCTTGGTATGCGGCATTTATTTTGACAGGCTGGGATATAAAACAGGCTGTGAAAGTGCCTCATGGAAGCACTGATGGGGCAGCTGAGTTTCTTGCACACAGCTTTCTAGCCTCTGCTGGAGGGTGGTGCATCCTCGCTTAGGAATACGCTCTGGTATTCAGTGCAGCTTTCTAAAATGAAAACTGGCTGAGCAGTAGATGCTTTTAAGCTCGTGATCTTTCCGTGACCACTGCCAGGCTAGGAATGTATCCCAAGGTGGTCTGAGCTAGCCTTCATACTGTGCCAGAACTGGGTGTATATCTGGGCTCTTAGGTCTGTTTTGATTAGTATCCCATCCTTACTCAAACCCACCGTTTTCTGTACTCTCTTGTTCACCTGCAAACAGTCAGCATTCTCCAGAAAGGACTTGTGCACGTATGAGGTGAACAGAGGCACGAGATGCTTAAGCAGAACTGAACAAGCTATGCCCAGCTCAAGTTGGTGCCAAGTAACTTGCTTACCGTGGATGTTAAAATTAGCCGTAATACTGGAACAGAGGTGGCTGCAGCATCAGGCTTGCGTGTCTGATACTGGTTGTCATTGCAGCAAACTCCCAGTTTTGCATATGGGAAGTGAGTTTTCGTTTAGGCCCTAAGCTCTAAAGCCATCTGGTGGCTGCGAGGATGCCAGCCTCGAGGGAACTATTTTTATAACATTAGCGAGAGTATTCATGCGGGGACCAATTTCCTTCATGCTTCTTTCTAGTGGTTTAACAAGCTAAATGTTTCTGTTAGCCTTGTCCTAAAACCTTTTGCATATAAGTTTCCATGATTCACCGAAGCCCGAGGGCGAAGCGCTCCCCGTGGCACGCTGTGCCCTCGTGCAGGCAATTTGGGGTGAGTGTCAGGGTGTGCACAAAGGCTGCAAGGGAAGATAGGGCTCGAGCAATGCTGATAAACGCTGCTGTGGTGTTCTCTAAAGTGACTTACAGATAGAAAAACATTTTTCTCTGAAAAATTGTGCCTTAACTTCTACGAAGGTGTTTTTTTCCCCCCTTCTGTCAGTGCTCAATCACTGGAGCTTTGGTGCAGTCTTCAGCTTGGTTTAGTTCTTGGGAAGTTAAATGATGCAACATGTGACCCAACTCGCAGCTGTAAATCCCACCTGGGGCTTTCTGCAAGTCAGTCACCTTGAAAACAGCATGTGAAACTTCGGGGAAATGGCTGTGCAAAGCTGTCCCCAGCCACATCTTCACTCAGCACTTCCTCCTGTGATTTCTGCTGCGAGCTCCTTCATCGTGGCCTCAAAAGAGGGAAGTGGGAGGCTTGTTTACATTTGCATCAAAACCCATCCAACCCAGCACAAAACTAAGTGCTTTATATAGCATGAAATGGTACAAATGTTGGTTTAGCGTGATGGCTGGGGGCATTAGCTGCAGGCAAAGGTCTGGTAAGAGTGGGTGTTTGGGTTGGTGCCTCTGCATGTTGCATCTGACCCAACCTAACCTGGGTGTCTGGGCTTTGGCCCACTGCCTCCTTGGTGGCAGCCTGGTTAGGACAGGCTCTCTTCCTCAGGGTACCCTTGCCTTCAGCCAAAGAAACCCTGTAATATTCCTCACTGCCCAAGGCACCGAATGCTAATTTTAATGAGCAGGAAGTTCATTTGGAGTTTGATTCAGCTGGACAAATTTCATTTGCCTCATGCTGCTGCCGACAGGCTCCTGTTCTGCAAAGCACTGATTATTTGAGCAGCA